TCCGAGTTCCTTTGGATTTATTAATCGGTTAATATTTAATTCATCGGTCGTCACGGCTTCTTTGAGACCACTGAAGATTAAGTTTTCCTTCTGGGAAAGCCCAGCACTTTATCATTTTGTTATTTTTATTCTTACAAGATGTCTCGCTTCTTTGTTGGAAGTTAAAGGATACGTTGATTTCTTCACATATTTAAAAGATGATAAAAATGCAAGAAATAGGGATAAAAGGAATGAAGCAGAATATAATTTATCATTGCTTTACATCGGTCTGTCACGTCCAAAGACGAAATATGAAAAACATTTGAATTTTAAACGATTTTCAGATATCAATGCAAAGCAGTGCGAACGTAACCATCTTCGTGTCAAGCTCTTCTGATGATATCTAGAGACAGAGCTATGAATAAATTAACTATTAAAAGATTTACACTGGAAACGATCTGCAGCTGTCTTTTCAATTTCCTGGAACCTTCGTTTAATTCTCGCGAGAATTATTGGATTTCCTTCTGCGATCAACAACAGTGATCTATTCTGATTCCACGATCAGGAAATGGAACGTATCCGCAGAACGCAGATTCTAACTATAAAAGTGACCTCTGATCTCTCTAGAGCCGCATGTCAGATGCTCGTTTAAAAGTTCGACTAAAAATAGCAAGTTCCGCCTGTAAGACCAACTATCACTGCGACCAGAGATATTTATAACGATGGATTCTTGAAAAAGGGATGCTCACTCGATCTCGGATGATCCGAACCACGAATGCTGTCCTTACAAGCAAATTATCGCGGCCATTCACTTTTATTATACGTTGTATCTTTGATAAAAATTTCATTAAAAAAATTTTATAGAGATACATGATCTGTTTGTTATTTCACATTGAAAAATTTGAAATCTCGAGGAAGAAGAAACAATTATTTTTCTAATTGTTCAATTCTTCGTCATTATGTCATATCATCGGAAGTTTAACCCAAGATTATGAATATTTACGACTTCGAATTCGCATTTGCTGGTCTAAAACTTCCTAAGTTCTAAAGCAAACTTGAAATTTCTAGCAATTCTATCTCATCTATCCTCCGACGTTAACGAATCCAAGGACCATAAGGTACCTAAATTTCACTTAGGCGATTATCAGAAGTCAAACAGAAATTCTCCGCGTTAAACTATCGTTAATACCTCCTTTATCCTAACGTACATATATTTCGATCAGCGATTAGAACGGCCGAGAGGTTGCATAATTGAAAGATTCTTCGGGTTCTTGTCATCAACGATCGCCAAAAGGCAACGCAGTAGGATCGTTAGCGGTGATTCGAATGAAAATTTCATCGTGCGAGATAAGCTGGATACAGCGTGTCCTTGTATTATCAGTAATTAAAGAAAATTCTGAACGGAAGAGCGGGGCAATTTCAGGCAATTGCCACGACAAACGCCCGGTGCACTGTTTCGCGAATGGTTATAGTACGGTGCTTGGTAATTTCAGCAATTCCAACCTACGATCCACGCCTCGGGGGCCCTTCTGATGTAGATTTTCGATTTGTCAACCAGTTGCCAGTCCGTGATAACGGAGAAAGCCGGTCTTTTCAGAAGATCTCAAGTACCGACATCTTTTTCGCCAGGAAATATCGTGCGAATCGTCCCTTTGAGTTACGTATACAAAATTTTTAATCATTTACGTTTGGTATTACTATTATGCCGAAGGGATGTCTTCGATCACGTGAATTTTATAAATTTACTTTAAAAAATTATTAACAGAAATATTTTTGAAATATGTTATTTATATCTAAAAAAAATTCGAAACTAAAATAATTTATAGCAAAAGTATACTATTACATTAGGATAATAGCAACGTTGATCGATTTCGACGAAATTTTCAGCACATGCAAAACTGACAATAGCAACGTATTGCTTAATTAAGTTTTCATTGCAGAGTCGAATAAGAAAAATTGTAAAAATCGACATTTACACTATTTCCTTCGCGACTCCAGTCGACTGCAATTTTTCAAAAATTGTATTCACGCGTCGTTCAAACTAATCCTTGTAACTTCTTAAAAAAAAAAAAAAAAAAAAAAAATCAGGACGTCTGGTCGAATTTTAAAAAAGTTATTCCACTTTAAATTGTGTCCCAGTATTTTAATGTGAGTGATCGTATGTGTGCCCCCCTCAGACGTTTTCGGAATATACAGACGTTGTTAGTCATCGATTCTCAGAAATATTTCCTTACAATTAATTTTACGTTATATTGGATTGGCAACGATGATTGACGGTTCATTCAAGTTCGTTCTGAGTCGAGAGTGCGGTACCTGTGGCCATTGTTACAAGACCCGTCATAAAACTGTCTTCCGTCTCATATATCTTAAAGGTTATATATCGTGTGATTGTTCTATTCTAAAACACAATATAATATAGGGATAATTGTTGTTTCGATCATGCGGGCGTGTACTTGCGGTCAACTAGCAAAACAGGGCTAGCGGGCGGCCAGTTAACGAGGCAAGAACGCCCTTTTGAAATGACGTTTAAAGTGGACTTGTTAAAGATCTATTGTACAATTAAATTAGCCCTCTTGTAAAACATATACAACATATACAAAAATAGTGCCATGTCCGAATATCAATGTGGAATAAAACTGGACCACCATAGTAGTTTCAATGACTCGAATCGATCACATCACTCTAGTGGCACGCGTTATCCCACGGGAAGAATATCTTCTTTGTTCGATCGTTCCTCGAAATATGTCGCGACACAGACAGACGCATTCCGGTTGTTCGGATGGAACTGTCCAAGCCGCACGAGGAATTCGACTGCGATACGGGAAAGTGCCGTATACTGTCCAGGAAGTCAGAGGTCAGGGATCCTCAAAGCATCTATAATTCTTCCCAACATGGTTGACACGCGAGAATACCATTGGAGAAATTTTAACCCTTCGCAGTCCTGTGACACTACTAACGTATATAACCACATTCGTAATACATGGCGTAAAGCCATTTTGCTGGCGCTATAGCGACACGCGTAATTTGCATCGCAATCGAAAATGTGTTAGACTATGTTGATATACGCAACATGCATCTCTGCATGGCAATTCAGGGTAAATTGTTGGTTGATTTTGGTTTGTACGATAAAGTAGTGGAAAATGGAAATCGAGTAGCTGAAAATTGAGGTTTGAATTTAGCTAAACGACGTTTTGTTAAGTCAAATTCGAGATAAGTGGATTATTTGAAACACTTTGTTTCATTGAAATAACTCTCACGATGATCGGAGTAATTAATTACGCAACGAAAAGTTTTGATTTCTTCTATTCATACAAACTTGTTTAAAAAAATTCCAATCGAATCGGTGGTTACTCATCAATGTCAAAAGATTGAAGTTGTTGTCTCGATGAAAGATAAATAAACCTAATGCAAATGTCTGCAAGATTGCCGGAGACAAATGTTTATCGAAGCGTCCGTTATTCAATGTTAGCCAAATTTATCATCGATTGTTTTCTCCAGCAAGATTGCGAACTGGGTCAAAGCCGATCACCGCGCAATCGCGATGAAGAAAACCTTCGACGCAACTGTTTCGTTCGATTCGGATCTGCTCTTGCGGCGAAGCACTTTAATTAGTCATTTTAATTGGTAATTAGGCTAGACAGGAGTGGTAGCCACGCGATGGATCCACAAAATTCACTCCTCGTTAGCGATCGTCGTGGAATGTTGCTTTCAGATCGAATAAAAAAGAGAAAAAAATTTGAGAAAAATCTGCAACACTCTCTGTTTGCAACACGCTCTATTTTTCACGCAAATTAACCGATCTTCGAGGGTACACGATCCGATTTCTATCGGAAAAGAATTTATTCGACCCTGAAATTACCAACGATTTTTCTTAACCCCGCTGCGCTCTTTAGACCATTTCCAATTCACATATATTTTTTTATTCGCAAGAAATTTAGTAAATAGATCGAGATGAAGTGGAAAAATCACTTTTTTATTTAACTTTGAAATGAGACAAAATTTAAAAAAATTAAAATATCGAAGGTATTAGAATATTTCTTGTCTTAATAATTGCATCTCTGGCTCTCATAACACATTTTTATTAATTCATCAGTTATTAAGTTGATCAGTTAAGAGAACTTACACCTTTGAACTCAATAGATGGCCATCATTTTTTGTTGTATTATATTTTATTGTGTTTCTCATGTTTTCTCCTGCGATCTTCGTATGTATAATGTCACATTTCAACTTCAACTCTAACCGAAGACAACATGATCGAGTGCAGGCAAGGGCCTTTAAATATCGGAAGTTAAATTTGTCGTTCAAAGCTTTTGCAATTAACTGCAGTATTGTATACATAGAGTGCAACAAGAATGTGCCACGCTTTGTTAAATAACCGCCTGTAAAAATAATAGCACAAAGAAAGATGCGTGACGTGCACATCCTTTATGAAATTCTTCGACAGCTCTATTAATAATTGTTACACTATGTTTCTAAGCTCAGATAAAATCTCGTATATTACGTGGCTTGCATCCGGAAGCTTCAGCCAACGTACGTGAAACCACAGGTACGTAACTAGATGTATGAAAAATTTGCTAATCCAAGAGAAAAATAAGCCACATAATTTACAAAAAATTATTCAAATTCCTAATAATGTATTCTGTGCAAATTATCCATAATTATTCTGTATGGATTTATCAACTTTCTACTCGATAAAGATTGTAAATTGATCACTTTCACCACTCTGATACTTCTAATGTAAAATACCACCAACGACGTGATTAAAGAAAAACGTCATTAAAAATATCTTTTGAAGATGAAATCCTTCGTCAAAAGATACGACAAAGGCTGCATAGTCTACTCCTCTAACCAAGATATATCATCATACAGTATGTTTCTTGTAGAAAATCATACACTCTTTTAACCTAGGACAAGGTACAGCGTCAGTATGGCTAGAAACCATCTAGTTGGAAAATCGAGACAGGGTCGATATCTGGTTGCCTGTCAAGGTGAACGGTTTGATATCTGGCGGAAGGACTCACCGAAAACTGGAGCAAGGATGGATGACCCAGTGACCTGCAGCCTTTTGCCTGATCCGTTCCTTCATCAAAGCTTTCTTGCTTCCGAACAGCTTCATAGCCAGCTTGTTGTCGGTAGGCTGGAACAGGGCCTGAAGCTGATTCTTCAAGAAGCTCTGCTTGACTTCCTGGCCCGGAAGACCCGGACCCGGCTCCTCCTTCGGCGTCCCGTAGAGGGACACATCGTCCACTCCGAAGTGGACCTTCCCGCTGCCCTTGTAATTCATCTCGTTGCCTAGAACATAATAACAAAAGCATTTTGTTAAGCATTGTTGTTAAGTTAAAAAATACACATTATAATTTTTTCGTCCTGATTCTGCTTATAACGCCTTATAAAGAGTTTGTACGCTTATAGAATCTATTTAAGAATATACATACACTACCCTGTACTTACAACGTAAGAATTAGAATATTTATCGGTGTTCAATATAAATTGAACAATACTGTTTTCTATTTTCATTTTTCAGCTGTTTGATTGTAAGTCAGTTATTTTATTCGCGACATATCTAAAATATTGAATGTAACCAATGGGTCCAAATGCTTATGGTAGATAGTGTACATGTTATGTAAATTCTCACGTAAGGGTTCACACGCACTCTCATACCTTTTTGTGGATACTATGTTGTATAATTATTGTATTACAGCGTTTCCTTTGTTTTTATGTATTTAACAGTTATATTACAGTCTACAGATCCTAATGTCTAAACATCTTATCATCCATCTATCAGTTAACTTAATCAATCAAATGTTGGTTCAACGTCAACACATCAAACGTCGAATGTAATTAATTACAATCCTAACTTCGCTGCAATTATCTAGATCAACAACAGTTCAATCTGTCGTATACAACAACTTAAACTAAACTCACAATTTCATATATATAATTTGAAAATTATCTAAACTATAGTTCGATAGGTAACGATGCGAGTTATCTCCTGAAGCGTCTCTCTCCTCGATATGCGATGTGAAAAACTGTAACTCGTGGAACAAATTATATATACGTGTGAACCTATATAGTTGTGAAATTAAAAGGACTCGTAGTACTCGATAATTTCCAATTAAATACTGCAATTTGCTCAAATGTATAATCATTGGCTAGCAACGAGCATTCTATAATTCTCGTTTCGAATAAACAACGTTCAAGTCCAGTTACTGAAAAATGCTTCGACGAAAGCCACGTGAAATCCCCACTACGAGAATCGAGGTACACGCGAGCTCATTCCAATCTCCCATCGACTTCCTTTCCAGCTCTCAAACGCAACCATACGCACTATTGGCTCTGTTGAAGCACACATGAAACGTAAAAACTACCAAGCACCGTTTGCTCGTCGACTCCAGTTAAATACAGTTAACCGACAGAATTCTGCCTTTTTTCGTTTTACATTTGCAACGCATTGCCTCTAATAATGGAAGGGAGGGGGAACTTAGAATTTAAGCGGTTGAATATTGTAAATAATATTGGAAATCTGATAGACTTTCAATTAATATTTTCATATTTTTTTATGAGGACTTTTATTCGAATTGAATAGAACTTTTATTTGATTGGAATAAAAGTTTTTAGGAGAATTTTTATCGAGAAATTATTGGAGAATCTTCTTTTGCATAATTGAAATAACGATATTAGCTAATTAAATTATGTAAGCGAAATTGTACGAATAAATTTTGGAACGATTCTGATTGAAGTGTTAAATGTTTATATTTAATTCATTCATTTAAATTAGAAAAAATTACTGTGTTAATTTGTCATTATTTACCCTCTAAGATTCTATAATTTTTTTCTAGCATTAAAGCAAGTTATTTTCTTTTGTCATGGGGCTCTCCTCTTTGCCTCTGATTTTTCTAGTGTAACAAAGAACGTTATTTAAACATTCGTGCAATTCAGAGTGGAATTTTCGGTATTACTTTTTGAAACCTTTTAAGCCAATTGCCTGGAGATTTGAGTCATTTTTATATAGAGATGCCTCGTTTTTCTCTAAAAGTTTTTGGATAATTTATCTGTTTATCATTTTAAATAGATAGTCTATAGCTTATCTTTTTAAATCAATTCTGAACAAATCAACTGTTCTTAATGTTTTAAGGAATCCTTTTAATCATTTTCATAGATAATATAAAAATATTAATCTTTGGGAAGCAATAGATCTTGGGGCTTTATAATTATAACGAGCTAGTAATTCTTGTGAACCAGAAAAATCGTTAGTAGACTACTTTGCAATCATAAATGATAATTTCAATGGGATATGAGTTTGAAAATTATTATTGCAGTAGAATGAAAGATCGTCATTGCTAAGAATAGGTTTTTATGAAGGTGAAGAACTCTGTAGTTACTCTGCGATAAAAATCATCAATAAATCAATTATACGCACAAACTGTTGCTAAGAGGATGCAAGAGCTCTAAATCGACTTGATTATTACTAGTTGAATGATGTTGGTTTCTGTTGTAAAAAAGTCTCTACCCTACAGCGAAAGATGAATCGCCATAAGCTAGACTACATCGATAAATCATTTATCATGATCATATAAGAATTTTATAATTAATGAACTAAAATATAGTATACCATAAACTTAATAACCAAGAAATATACTTGAAAAATATTCCTAACGTTCTTATAAAATTTCCATATACATAGTATCATCTGAGAAGATATGAAATTAGGTAATTAACTAGTACAAGATAGAACTCATCGAGTGATTCATTTCTACGAGGAAAGAACAGAATTATAAAAGTCTTATAATTTCCAAAACGAGATACGATACGGTATCAACCTATTTAGAAGATTTCTAAACGTTATGCCAATTCATAATTATTCAGAATTATTACCAGGAAATTTTTCAATTTTTAATTTCAAGCTGCATGAGAAGATCTTATCATTCCACGAAAATAACGCATTGTCAGTTCTAGTTTAAAATGGGAACACATAATAAATCTTGCAATAAAAATACATAAAAAGTGCATGTAATAAATATCAATCAAATATTATTAAATCAGTGTATTAAATAATGTTAAAAAAAATCAAATGTTATCGACCTAATCATGTTAACCACATCTCGTCACAGTGTTAATGAAACTTCAAAAACTCATACATGACACACACAATATATTTATAAAAGTTTCCTACAATAAATGTCCAAGTACTCTCGCGAATCATTATATATTTATTTATTTAAATAAAGCTGGTTTTCCTACAAAATGCACGATTTTCATAGATAACTCTTTCTTTCCAAAACACTATGCATCATTTCAGTAGAGACGATATGAACACATATATAGATTAAGGATATCTTAAATCTTTCCGTTTCTAGACATTTAAGGATCAATCTCGTTATCAGATCAACTACAGCGAAACCTTGTCCTCGAAATGCCACCTAGCCTCCATAAAATCCGTGATTCTTCAATTCCTCGGAACAAGACTCACCAAACTTCGGCGTTGCTCGCGCGTGCGACAACTTGGGCCAGCTGGAGACAAGGACAGGGCAGCCCTTGTTCCCTTGCTGTTGGTCTAGCTGTGTTTGTTTCCTCAAGAGCGGCGTTCTCTGCTCGTCGAGCTGACTGGCGCGCGCCAGATCGTCGGCCATCGCCCGAAAGCAAGCGGCCTCAGGATCGCGAGAACGGTCTGCCCCGTTTACCGTGTAACTGGTCCCCGATGCAGAGGTTGACTAATGACGAGCGGAACACGAGGAAAAAGAAGCCACGC